ATCAGACTCATTCTGACTAGAATTGAGTCGGACTACGTCAGGCTAGATTAGAGCTGCAAAGTATATCTAAATCCGAATCATCTGCACACTGTTGATATCTACAATATCCCCTCTGGAGGTGATAAATGGTGGATTTTTATAAATGACACGCAATTAAATGAGCTCTGACCTTAATGCCCACAGTTGATGCATGGATGTGGAGACTGTTTAATAGTAAAGAAAGAATCAAAATCTGCTCTTTTTCAAAACAGCCAACGCTCCACACGTAAGCACTGCCATAGATTAAGGCTTCCAGCAGATAACAGCAAGCCTGAACAAAGTACAGAGAGACCACAGCTGGAGGAGCTGCCTGAGCTACAAAACACTGAGATTTTAGAAAGCTCTGAATCTACACAGATGCCTTATGATGAAACATGATTAAATCATCGTTGGGACGCTGGTGTAGAAACGCTGGCTGTTCGACGTTACAAACACTACTTACTGATAATTATTACAATCCAAAATACTGAGCAGAAGGGAGAGAAAAACATGACCAGAAACCAAGCTAGAGCTAAATTTAGCAACTGTTTTAAAAAAAAAAATGTTTAGTAGAAACAATTTGCCAGGATACCTTCCAGATTAAATGGAGCAGCTCAGCACAGATTAGCATTTAGTCAACATGTTGGCAGCAGAGAATGATGGTAGTACGGGACGCAGGTAAAGGTGAAAATGACTCAGAGGCATTCCTACGATCCTTGTCTGATCAAAAACCCAACTATCGAGGCCATAAAGTGAAAATGCGTACGAAATATTAAGTCCTGACGGAATAAGTCAATGTTTTTTAGAACCAACTAAATAATTACACCAGAAACAAGGACAGCAACAGCAAGAAGAGTGCAATAACTAAGCTAGTGAGTAAAAAGAAAAATTGAAGATAGAAGCGTAAAAAGATGCAGGATAACACAACAAGCTGTTGAAGACGGAGGGAGGACTCCGTCTACACAAATTACTAGTTTGCTAGCAGAAGGGAGAGAAATAAAAAGTGAAAAATGCAGAGCCTGTAACGCTGGTTTCCCTTCACTTCAAACAGAGCTCCATGATATGCGATAGGCGGGTTGCATCAACAGTGCAGCCACATAATAAAAGGCTTTCTGCTCAGGGGGAACTGGAAAATTCCTGCAAGCCTCAAAAAATGTTATTCTCAGGGAAATTACGTTTAAAACGTACTAGTGTTTACAGTCTGGAGCTTTCGTATTAAAACAGCTCATCTAGTAGCAAATGTGAACTAAAACGTCTATTTTGGCTTGAAACTATGACGGTATTAACATTCAGAAGAGCACTTATTATGGAGGCTGACAGAGACTTTGACAGAGTAGAGAACAGTTTGCAGCTTTAAAATCAGCTTCATAAAAATAACCGCAGTCAGATTATCCTCAAACTTATAGTCTTTGCTTTTAATCATCAAAACCTGTGATTAAAAAGACATCAGGAGGAATTTTAGCCTCTTAAAGAAGATGTGTCATTTACAGATTAATGTTTGAAGTCTGTAGCTCCTGAAATGCATTTTTTAAATATTACTTTTAGTTTCTATTTAATGACCAATTAGAAAGCACTTGATGTTACCTGAGGGCGGTCGGCTTGGCGCTGGGGAAGCGTGTTGGTGGGGAAGTCTTTGGAAGTTGTGTTCATTGTGTTCATAAAACCTATAGTCCTCAGGGAAGCGCTCCTGGACTCTCCTGGGCTGACGCTGTTGCTGGTTTTCATAGTAGGGCTCAGCCTGGTAGTAATAACGATTAGCGTCTCCGTTTTCAGACATGGGGCTCACATCCGTGAGGAAGGATTGCGTCGAGCCGCGGTACTCGTGCGACACGTCTCCCACGCTGCGAGGCAGGTACGGCGGCGCCGACATCCGGTGGCTCTCTCTGCGGGCCACCTCGTGCGGCGGCCTCTGCACGGGTGCACGGAGGACGCTCTTGCTGCGGGACACTACGGACTCCCTGCTGCTTGCCACAGAGTAGGAGGAGGGGGCCATCTCTGGCGGGGGGCCCTCTGTTCGTCTGGGGATGGTGGGTCCATGGCGAATGAATGAAGGCATAAGACCTGCAATATCAACAGCATATAAGATCATATCTACTGGCAGACTAAGGTTTTGAATAGTTTATTTCTTTAAATGATGGAAACAGCTTCTGATAGAAAATAAGACATCTCACAGAAATAATAAAAATGTTAAAAAGCATCCGTCATTTACAATTTATCAATTAAAGGAAGCTTGAATATTAGTCAATACAATAATCAATAGTTAAATCCTTATTTATCTTACAGTAAATACATAATTAATAAATAATTAATAAATAATGACCAGTATTATGCATTAGAAATACAGATCCTTCTTTTTCTGAAATATCTTGCAATCACCTTAATCTAAAGCTCCTTACACAGAATCTCTAATTCATTTAAGCAACTCTTCAATCTAAAAATATATTATTTATTGTCAGATGAAAATATATTGATAAATAAAAGACTACTTTTATCCTAAAGTAAAAACAGTTTCTCTTGCTGTATATCTGTTGGGTCAATGACGTCACAAGACATCCAGACTCATCAGCAAATTAACTTCTGCACTATTTTTATATAATTTACATCAAGTAGGATTCATCAAAGTTCAATTTAAAGGAGAGGAATTAAATATTAAGTGCTTGATCAGAGTTCAACTTTGATAAACCACAATCCCTAATAAATATTTCCTTCAATAAAAGCTGAAGCAAACGTTGTTGATAATGAAAAGCCTCAGACTGGTTTAAAACCTGCTGATACATAAATATGCATTAATAACTGGTTCCTCTGAATGTTTATTCCTGTAAAAGAACAAGCACTATTCTTTTTTTTTTATTTATTTTTTTTTTATCAATTTAAACCTTAGCTTTCATGTGATTTCACTGCAGGAATGTGAGCAGAAAACAAAACAAAACCAAACAATGACACCATGACTCAATGGTTATGGGTTAAAACTATAAATACAGAACATCTAACTGGGAATCTGACAAAAAATTGTTTTAAAATCAAAATCTATTCTGTAATGCGTTTATGGAAGAGGATTAGGGCCACTGAAAAAAAAAAAAAGAGTTAACTGATTTTTAAATATTATTTCAGTATATTATGAGAAAAAAGTCAGAATTCTGATTTTAATCTCAGAGTTTTGGATCTTAATGCAGGTGGGCCCCATGAAGGATGTGGAGCACTCAGCTTCACTGAAAAAGATGTGAGATGTTTGGGAGGAACAGGAACAGATTGGTGGAAAATTATGAAATTAATTATTTAATTAATGGAAGAGCAGAAGGTGATTAAAACAAGAGAGCTAGTTTAGTCTTTAAAACAGACATGGCTACAGCTTGATGCTAACATGTTTGTTAGCTGTCACAATTCTGACTGAATCCCAGGATTAAAGTCAGAATTCTGATAAAAAAAAAAAAGGTAGAATCCTGAGATTAAAGTCAAAATCATGAGATTAAAGTCAGAATTCTAATTAAAAAAAGTCAGAATCCTGAGATTAAAGTC